AATATAAGAATCCCGCGGTGGTTTCGACCACCCGGGGGCACTCCGACGATCAAGTCAGTATATCTCTCAAAGATAAATCAAATACTAAACTCACAAGCTTGAGTATCAAAAGCATACCTTAGACCCATGGGGGTGCCTCTCTTTTATAGCCAATACAATCCTAGTCCCAATAGGAGCCTGGCCCTAATGGACTTAGGATTACTGCTAATCTGGGACTCTCAGTGGGATTAGGATAAACTCTCTAAGAGTCTTATCTTTACCCAAACTGAAGTTTTCTCCCCATCTAGGACTCTTGTCCTTTATCCGATTATCTCGGATTCCGATATCTTCGGAGATAACCTCGGCCTTGCTGAGATCACCTCGGTGTCACAACCAGAACACGTGGCACCTCGGCTGACACGTCGGCGTCATCTTGCCACGTGTTGGTACTCAGAAAATATATCCCCACAACTGCCCCCTAGGTTCTATTACCTCGACATTCTGAGGTGATGGAACCTACACTGTTCGTTCATCTGTGCCCCTCTGTCCGATATCAAATTCACCGACCTCAAAGTTCCCTGGACCTTACTGTCCACTTGTGTCAAGTATCAAGATTCATGCCTTCCAGGCTATTTGAGATCGCACCTCCTAGCCGAGGTTCTGGTTTCATTAATTTGTAAACTCCAAGAGCTTTGCAACTGCTCCACTCACACTCTCTAGTGAGTTCCCGATTTTCCAGTCACTTATTTGACTCCGACGATTTTCATATCGGTGTTCATTTCACTTTGTAGGTTCATAAACTCTTTACTTGCTATTAAGCTCAATCTTTCATAACTCTTCTGATTTACTTTGAATCTGTTTATTTGCCCTCTGTGTTCTTCTATTTTCGTCTGTTTTCAAGTCTTGAATTGTTTGAATGCCTGGCACTGTTCTTGTCATATCCGCTTTCTGTTGCTAGCATCGTGTCTGGGTCATTACTTTCTTGTTCTTCACATACTTACTTAGTGCCTGTGCACTTGGCTTTATTCTTGAACTTTGTCGTCTTCTTGACTATTTTTCTCTTTTTTCATTCAATCCTCTGACTTTTTCTCTTTCTAGCTCTTTTGCTTAAATCCGTCATTTGTTCCAAGCTTTCAAGCTTCTGCAACTGTCTTCGTTTCTCTCCTCCGGTGAAGCTTTACGTCATTCTGTCATTGTTGTCAGACTTCGGCAATTCTCATTCCGGCTTCCCTCTTTCTGGTAAGCCACTGTTCCTCCTGGTTTTATTTCTTGTTGCTTTTCCAAGAAGCTCTGCTTCATTGTTAATCACCATTGCTTGTTTTACCCGTTATTTCCAAATCATCTTCTTGAATACACACTGTTCACACATCTGTTGATTTCTACCATTGTTCTTGGCTTGACATACTTGTGCAATCTTTTTGTCTTGATTTCTTGATAGCTTCATCATCATTCTTGATTACGAATTACATTCATGTTTCTGTTTTCTGTGTCTTTTTCCAGATTCTTGCTTTCAATCTTTGCCTTCAAACCCCAAGGTGCCAATCGTCGAGAAGAGACTTGATCAAACTCTTCAGGAGATCGAGGCTGAGCTCGTGGCCGAGAAGGCTGCTGAGAAGTCTTCCCAACTGTCTTCTATATCCTGCCATTGATACCGAGTAGTTTTGTTTTCAATTCTCTTTCTTCTTCTTCGGCTAAGCTTGAGCTGAGAAGAAAGAAGCGTTCTTCGTCACCCTCCTGGACGAGGATTTTCTTCAGTGTCTCTTCACTCTTTTCGGCTGGCTCCTTGCCGACATCATCTAGGACCTCCATGTTCTCGTCTTCAATCTCTGCCTTCCCTGGTTCCCGAATGTTGCAGGTAGTTTTTCATTGCTTCCATGGAGCAATTCTTTGCCTGCAGTTAGTCTCCTCTGACTTCTTCAATCCCATGTTTTGAGGGAACTACCCCCATTGCATGCAACCATGGCCTTCCCAAGATGATATTGTATGGCGAGGGCGTGTCAATCATCATGAATTATGTCTTGATCTTCTTCTAACTGCTCTTGCATGATTCTATACTTAGAATATTTTGCATGCCTTTCATACTTTGCCTCATTTGTGCAATCTTCTTAGGGTTACATACCTCGGGTATAATAGCTACAAAACTTTTACTTCGGCAAGATACTGACCTGCAAACTTTTCATAAATTCTAACAAGTGTGAAACATATACTACTCAATGTTAACTTTGCAAACTTTTCTCAAGTGTCAACAAGTGTTTAAACGGTGATCTCGGTCTAGCCTACTTGTAAATTGCTACAAATTTCAACAAGGATTAACATATACTGTAACAGGGACGCTCGTTCCTCTGCTGCTTTGTAAATTGCTACAAATTTCAACAAGCGTAAACAATTATCTCGGCTTAACTTCAACTTGTAAATTGCTACAAATTTTAACAAGTGAAGATAAGGAACCATCTTGGCTTAACTTCAACTTGTAAATTGCTACAAATTTTAACAAGTGAAGATAAGGAACCATCTTGGCTTAACTTCAACTTGTAAATTGCTACAAATTTTAACAAGTGAAGATAAGGAACCATCTTGGCTTAACTTCAACTTGTAAATTGCTACAAATTTTAACAAGTGAAGATAAGGAACCATCTTGGCTTAACTTCAACTTGTAAATTGCTACAAATTTTAACAAGTGAAGATAAGGAACCATCTTGGCTTAACTTCAACTTGTAAATTGCTACAAATTTTAACAAGTGAAGATAAGGAACCATCTTGGCTTAACTTCAACTTGTAAATTGCTACAAATTTTAACAAGTGAAGATAAGGAACCATCTTGGCTTAACTTCAACTTGTAAATTGCTACAAATTTTAACAAGTGAAGATAAGGAACCATCTTGGCTTAACTTCAACTTGTAAATTGCTACAAATTTTAACAAGTGAAGATAAGGAACCATCTTGGCTTAACTTCAACTTGTAAATTGCTACAAATTTTAACAAGTGAAGATAAGGAACCATCTTGGCTTAACTTCAACTTGTAAATTGCTACAAATTTCAACAAGTGAATTAAGGAATAATCTCGGCTTAATTTCAGTTAAGCATCATCTCGGCTTAACTTCGGTTAAGCATCGTCTCGGTTTAACTTCGGTTAAACATTATCTGGGCTTAACTTCGGTTATGCATTATTTCGGCTTAACTTCGGTTAAGCATCATCTCGGCTTAACTTTAGTTAAGCATCGTCTCGGTTTAACTTCAGTTAAACATCATCTGGGCTTAACTTCAGTTAAGCATCATCTCGGCTTAACTTCGGTTAAGTATCATCTCGGCTTAACTTCGGTTAAGCATGCTACAAATTTCTACAAGTGGTAAACGTATTCTTCTTCTTTACGTCCCCAGTGTGAACTTAAAATCCACTTGGGTTCTCATCATACATGTAGCTTCGACCTTGTCGCCGAGGTTGAATTCAAGCCGAGGTTGTCGGCCTTGGTTTCTTTATTTGGCTCTAACCTGAGTTTGATTTTCGGCCTCACATCGGCGAGCTGTTTCTCTTTTCTCGTTCCGATGCCTTTGTTCCCGGCCTGTCCTCCTCGGCCCTAGTATATTTCTCAATTCTGGCCAACTTTAGTCTGATCTTGTGTGTTTTCTTTTTATCTTTTGGGATCTGAGATTTGCTCATTGTGCTCTTCTCTTCTCGGACTCAGGTGTCGAGATCTTATCTTCTGAAATCTTGGATTTGCTCACTTAGGTTGAGCTCTTCTCTTCTCGGACCTACTCATCTAGGCCAAGATTATGTCTTCTAGGATCCGGGATCTGGAATTCGGGATCTGCTCACATAGGTTGAGCTCTCGTCTTCTCGGGCCTACTTGTCTAGGCTGAGATCATGTCTTCTCAGATCCGGGATCCAGGATCTGGAATCTGGGATCTGCTCACTCAGGATGAGTTCTTCTATACTTGAATTTTATCTCCTTGGGAGCGTTCATGCCCCCTATCTTTGCATCCCTTCTGGAAGGGTCTTCGTTCCTCTGCAGGTATCTATCCTTTCATACCTGGAGGTCGTCTTCGTTGCTTCGATCTGTTGTCTTTGGTGCGTCACCTTCCTGGCCGGCTTCTTTCACTCGGTGACTGTGGTCACGAGTTTCTGTGTCGCTATTGTCCCCTTCAACGTCGAGATCGATAGGTCTCTGACTCCCAGCAGGAGTGTTGTCTCTAATCTGATCCTTTTGTCCGTCATTGGCCATCTATTCTTCTTTCTTTCCCACAGACGGCGCCAAATTGTGTGGGTGATTTTCCGACCACACTGCCCGCTTAGTAACCAGCTGGAGAGCACTGGCAGAATAGATGGCACCTGACTGACCTGCAACAGAAATATAAGAATCCCGCGGTGGTTTCGACCACCCGGGGGCACTCCGACGATCAAGTCAGTATATCTCTCAAAGATAAATCAAGTACTAAACTCACAAGCTTGAGTATCAAAAGCATACCTTAGACCCATGGGGGTGCCTCTCTTTTATAGCCAATACAATCCTAGTCCCAATAGGAGCCTGGCCCTAATGGACTTAGGATTACTACTAATCTGGGACTCTCAGTGGGATTAGGATAAACTCTCTAAGAGTCTTATCTTTACCCAAACTGAAGTCTTCTCCCCATCTAGGACTCTTGTCCTTTATCCGATTATCTCGGATTCCGATATCTTCGGAGATAACCTCGGCCTTGCTGAGATCACCTCGGCGTCACGACCAGAACACGTGGCACCTCGGCTGACACGTCAGCGTCACCTTGCCACGTGTTGGTACTCAGAAAATATATCCCCACAGCACTCAAACACACATTTGTGTGCTTATTTTTGGGACTTATTTGTTTTATAACTTGTTATTCTTATTAGCTTTATGAATTATTTCCTTCATTTATCATAAACAGTTAAGGAAGATTTTAAATTTAAAATAACATAACAATTATGGACTGTATCTATATTTCCATTTTCTTTTTTTTTGGTGCTGAATTATTTATGCATCTTTTTTACAACTTCTTTTGTTGACCTTAGGCCCGATGACTCCGATGTCCTGGTCAACCTTGCTTGTGGCAGTCTTTCAGGGATAGCATCATCTACAGGTGAGTGATTCGAAATTCAACAAGGAAATTCCCTTCAAACTTCAAGAAAGGCAATATTTGGTTTTGATTTACAAAATAATTTTCATTTTTTAACTAAGAAAGGAAAAAGTCAAATGGGGTAGTGGTTTTTTTGTGATGCTAATTACTGCAGAATTTCATGACTAGATTACCCTCTTATTGTAACATGATGCATTGTAAATGCTACAAAACAGAGACAGAAGATTGTAGAGATTCCATAAAGTAGTTTGCCTTGTGTTTATGCTACTATACCATTTATTTTAGTGCTTCTTGTTCAGCCTTCCTCACTTTCTGTAGGGAACAATGATCAAGTAGAGTTTCTGCTTGAATTATATTATTAAATGACGCTAATAGCTAATGAAAGAAGTTAATGCCTGTAGCTGTCCTCAATGCTTTTGATGTAGAGAAGCAGGTTGAGATGCAGGCTTTCCACTAAGCTTCTAACAGACTGAAACCTAGAGCCAGAGACCCTGACAGGAAGTCAATTTTTGTCAGACGATTTTTAGTAAGAACGTAAACAAATAATATATATAGTTTTTTTGTTTGTTTGTTTGTTTTTTTTTTGGTGGTGGTGGTTTGCTAACCTATTTTATGTTCTATGTAAAAATCTGAGTTGGATGAACTTGACCTCTCCTACATGAATTGGTAACTTGGCTTACCGAACAATCTGATTGATTTCATTATAGGGTGGCATTTCTCAAGTAATCCAATATGGTTCTTAGTTAGCAGCTGTGAGAGCGTACTCTTTTGAGGTATGCTTGTCCCTTAGGCTTCCTTTGCCACTTGCTCACTGGTAATACTGGGATCTTAAGTTTCACTGGTGCATTTGAGTAAACTGAAGCTTTGATTCATGTCACATGTGGATTACTCACTCTAACCCCTAAACCCTCTGTTGTTTTTGCTTCAAAATATTTCAGGGAAATTTTGTCGAGGAGAAGAAAGTATGTGTAAGAGAGATTTTGTGAAGCTTTTTGAAGAGGCTTGATCTATTTTCACATTTCAAGCAGATTTCTGGGCTACATATAAATGGAGCCTTTTATCCAGAAAATGTATTTAGAAAATATAGTTCATCAAAACAAATAGGTCATGGCACTAGCCTCTTTAGTTTGCTTCATTCAAAATATTTCTTTACATTCTGAATTATTTTCTTGTTGAAAATTTTCTTTCAATAGTTTTCCCATCCATGCATTTTTTTAATTAAACTCACAGATCTAAAATTAGTAACACTATTCTGGGCAAACTAGTTTTTTAAGAAACTTGAATTCGAGGTGTTGACACCCCAAAATCACCAAACAGCGTCGGATTAGCACGAAACTTGGCACACACGACCGCTTAGACATGAGAGACTTGTGGGAGAAGACGGGACTCGAATTGGATTCTCGGTTTGGGAGTTAGAGCCGGATTTCACTCTAGGCAAACTAGTTCCTTAAGAAACTTGAATTCGAGGGGTTGACCCCCAAAATCACCAAACGGCGTCGAAATAGCATGAAACTTGGCGCACACAACTGCCTAGGCACGAGAGACTTGTGGGAGAAGACGAGACTCGAATCGGGTTCCCGATTTAGGAGTTAGAGCCGGATTTTACTCTAGGCAAAACTAGTTCCTTAAGAAACTTGATTTCGAGGTGTTGACAACCCAAAATCACCAAACAGCGTCTGATTAGCACGAAACTTGGCACACACGACCGCCCAGGCACGAGAGACTTGTGGGAGAAGACAGGACTTAAATCGGGTTCCCGGTTTGGGAGTTAGAGCTGGATTGCACTCTAGGCAAACTAGTTCCTTAAGAAATTTAAATTTGAAGTGTTGATGCCCCCAAATCTCCAAATGGCATCGGATTAGCACAAAACTTGGCACACACGACCGCCTAGGCACGCGAGACTTGTGGGAGAAGATGGGACTCGAATTGGGTTCCCGGTTTGGGAGTTAGAGCTTGATTTCACTCTTAAGAAACAAACTAGTTTCTTAAGAAACTTAGAATTTGAGATGTTAATGCCTCCAAATCACCAAACGACGTCGGAGTAGCATGAAACTTGGCACACACGACCGCCTTAGCACGAGAGACTTGTGGGAGAAGACGGGACTCAAATCAGGTTCCCGGTTTAGGAGTTAGAGCCGGATTTCGATCTAGGCAAACTAGTTTCTTAAGAAACTTGAATTCGAGTTGTTGACGCCCCAAAATTACCAAACGGTGTCGGATTAGCACGAAACTTGGCACACACGACCGTCTAGGCATGAGAGACTTGTGAGAGAAGATGAGACTTGAATCAGGTTCCCGGTTTGGGAGTTAGAGTCGGATTTCACTCTAGGCAAACTTTCCTTAAGAAACTTGAATTCGAGGGGTTGACGCCCCAAAATCATCAAACGACGTCAGAATAGCACGAAACTTGGCACACACGACTGCCTAGGCACGAGAGACTTGTGGGAGAAGACGAGACTCGAATCGGGTTCCCAGTTTGGGAGTTAGAGCCGGATTTCACTCTAGGCAAAACTAGTTCCTTAAGAAACTTGAATTCGAGGTGTTGACGACCCAAAATCACGAAACGGTGTCGGATTAGCACGAAACTTGGCACACACGACCGCCTAGGCACCAGAGACTTGTGGAAGAAGACAGGACTCGAATTGGGTTCCCGGTTTGGGAGTTAGAGCCGGATTGGACTCTAGGCCAACTAGTTCCTTAAGAAATTTAAATTCGAGGTGTTAATGCCCCAAAATCTCCAAATGGCGTTGGATTAGCACGAAACATGGCACACACGACCGCCTAGGCACGCGAGACTTGTGGGAGAAGATGAGACTCGAATCGGGTTCCTGATTTGGGAGTTAGAGCCAGATTTCACTCTTAAGAAACAAACTAGTTTCTTAAGAAACTTAGAATTTGAGGTGTTAATGGCCGCAAATCACCAAACGGGGTCAAAGTAGCAGGAACTTGGCACACACGACCGCCTTCGTATGAGAGACTTGTGGGAGAAGACGAGACTCGAATCGGATTCCCGGTTTGGGAGTTAGAGCCGGATTTCACTCTAGGCAAACTAGTTCTTTAAAAAACTTAAAATTTGAGGTGTTGACACTCAAAAATTACCAAACGGCATCAGATTAGCACAAAACTTGGCACACATGACCACTTTGGCATGTGAGACTTGTGGGAGAAGACGGGACTCGAATCGGGTTCCTGGTTTGGGAGTTAGAGCCGGATTTCACTTTAGGTAAACTAGTTCTTTAAAAAACTTAGAATTCAAGGTGTTAACGTCCCAAAATCATTAAACGACGTCAGATTAGCACGAAACTTGGCACAAACGACTGCCTTGGCACGAGAGACTTGTGGGAGAAGACGGGACTCAAATCGGGTTACCGATTTGGGAGTTAGAGTCGGATTTCGGTCTAGGCACAATTATTTACTTAATTATCTTTCTAATTGTATAGTAGTTAAATTTTTAAATTTTTAAATTTTTTTTAATTAACATATTAACACATAATTATATTGTCATTAATTAATTTTATTTTTTTTCCAGATATTTCCAGAGTAGAAGTTTGCTTCTTGCGGATTTCATGCCTGTGAAGAATGCGACTAATTTTTGTTTTTGTACCACGGAGAATGCTGAGGAAAACTTTTAATTTTGATTTATGTTATTTTCAATTATGAATAATATTATGTATTTAAACATTATATATGTATTATGGAACATTATGTACTCGGTTAATTTTGTTGATATATAGTTATGAATGCAAGAATATGTTTATTATGGAGAAATTATTATTTCTATACAGGAATTTTTATATTATTATGCAATTATTGGTTTTTTTTAAAAAATTATTTTTCATTGAATACAAGTAATTTTAATATTTTTAATTAATTTACAGCAAGTTTTTTTTTTTTTTTTGTGACAGCACCAAACCGTCGCAAAAAACAAGTATTTTATAATTTTTAATAAATATTG